GGGAGAGGGAGAGAGAGAGAGAGAGAGAGAGAGAGAGATATCAACATGAGAAACTGGATCAGCTGCTCCAACCAGTCACTGAAACTGCAAACCAGGTTTGTGCTCTGTATGGGGAACTGAACTGAACTGAACTGAACCAACTACCCCTCGGAATACTGGACAATGCTCAACCAATTGAGCCACTCTGGCGTAAAAGAATACTCTTTTCAACAAAGTGTACTACTGGATATTTACAGTAAAAGATTGAAGTTGGTCCATTCCCTAGCTTACACCATAAAAAAACAAAAATTAACTCAAAGCGGACCAAAAACCTAAATGTAATACCTAAAACTATAAAACTCCTAGAAGAAAATGTAGAATAGATCTTCGTAATCTTGGATGTGGCAATAGTTTTTAAAATATAACAACAAAAGCACAAACAAGCAAATTAAAAACAGATAAATTTGGATTTCATCAACATTAAAAATGTGCTTCAAAGGACATTATCAAGAAAATGAAAGACAACCCATTGAATAGCAGGAAATATTTGTAAATTATATATCTGATAGAATGTATATTGGTAAATAAGTTTTGTAACTTAATAATGAAAAGACAAATAACCCAATTGAAAAAATGGGCAAAGGATCTGAGTAGACATGTCTCCAAAGAAGATAAATGTACAAGTGGCCAATAAGCACCCAAAAGATGCTCAGCATCATTCATCATGAAGGGAATGCAAATCAGTCATAATGAGGTACCACTTCCTATCAACTAGGATGGCTAAAACAAAAGGCAGTAATGAGTGTTGACAAGGATGTGAAGAAATTGGAACCCTTATACATTTTGGTGGAAATGTAAAATGGTGCAACCACTTTGGAAAACAGCCTGGCAGCTGCTCAAAAGGTTAAATATACAGCAATTCCAAAGACCCAGCAATTTTACTCCTAGATGTATACCCAAGAGAATGAAAAACCCATGTCTACACAAAAACTTGTACACAAATGCTTACAGCAGCATTATTTATAACTAGAGGCCTGGTGCATGAAATTCATGCAGGGGTGGAGGGTGTCCCTCAGCCCGGCCTGCATCCTCTCCAATATGGGATTCCTCACAATCTGGGACCACTGGCTCCTAGCCACTCACCTCCCTGCCTGATTACCCCTAACCCCTCTGCCTGATGGCCTCATTGCCCGTAACTGCCTTTCCCTGCCAGCCTGATTGTCCCTAACCGCCTCTGTCTTGGCCCCTGTCAATGTGGCTTTGTCCAGAAGGACTAGACAACTGGAAGTTGTCCGGTTGACCTGGTCTAATTAGCATATTACCCTTTTATTAGTATAGATAACTAAAAAGTGGAAACCAAATGTCTAGTAACTGACAAGTGGATATGCAAATATGGTATATCCATTCAGTGGAATATTATCCAGCAATAAAAAGGAACGAAACATTGTGGGCAACAGTGTGGTGACTGCAGGGTTAGGGGAATAGGTGGAGGTGGAGGAAGGTGTCGGGAGCCGGTCCATCCTTGCTGTTTCAAGGGACCTGGCATATATGGCATACTGTTCTTTTTTCTTAAAAAAAAAATTTTTTTTTTATTTTAAA